CTTTTTCTCCCAGGAGTTCCACCAAGGAATTCTGCCTTGCTTTGCCATAGACCTAAAGCAATGGGTTTGCCCAAATATAGACTGAAACCTCTGAAACTATGAGCCAAAATAAACCCTTTCTTTTATAAGCTGATTATCTCAAGTATTTGTTACAGCAACAGAAAGCTGACCAACACAGCAAATATAATCAGTGGGCATACCCCCCCCATATGCTCTCTTCACCATACCTCATTCTAGGTGCAAGGCAAAGAAAACTGACTATTGGAAGAAGAGGTCCTCCTGTGCTTTTAAGCTGAAAGGCTTGGCAGTTGTGACATCAAGAAGGTAATACTGCTTCTACCTTAGAACATCCGAAGGTAAAGATAACTCAAAGAAGAAAGGAAGGCCCCACCTCAGGACTCAAGTTAGAAATGAGCAAGAGCAAATGTTCTGTGAATTGCAACTGTTCCMACCTAAAAGTGTTCCAGTTAGAAGAATAACTTATTCCACATTACTCTAATGTTGCTCTTGCAAATAATTATTCTCTGCACTTCAGAGAAGGGTTAATAGCCCCTTTCAAGACATGCTGGAAACAACAATAATAATGATGATAGTGATGACAAACTAAGGCACAGTGCTTCACACACTCTAATTGCTTCTGATCTTGAGAAGAACTCTGGAAGGTAGATGGTAATTCCATTTTATATAAACCGAGACTCAGAGATGATAAGATTTGCTCCAGTAGAGACATCTTCTAAACCCAGATCTTCTGACTCTGTGCCCCATAATTCAACTCCTGGGCTGATATATGCCATGTCACAAGCACAAGTTAACTAGTGAAATACCAAAGTCATAACTCATATCTCTAACAGCAAGACTATGAGGTGAAAGCATCCAAGGTAAGGGGCAAAGTCAACTGATCAATACAAAATAGATAGATCATACACCATGTGTCCCAGAACAAAGTGGCAGAGTACACAGACAGCAGCTCCAGTTCTCAAACATAGGCATCAAGTGTCTGTCAATTAAAAGCATATCCCAAACCTGGCCATCAATTAAAATCACATGAGGAGCATTAGAAGAATTAACTGGCCTTCAGGGCTGATGGTGGGAAACCCATACCTTGTCCTATGTTAAAAATGGTCAAATATTTGATATTCCTGAATGCAGGACTTTCCTCACATAGTCCTGGGCTGAGCTCCTGAGTAGAGATGTTTTAGTCTATTTTCCATTGTTAACAGAATATCTGAGTCTGGGTACTTTATAAAGGGAAGAAGTTTACTCTGGATCCCAATTTTATAGGCTGGAAAGATAATAGTAAGGCACCACCAAAGTCCTTGAACTGCTTCAACTAATGGTGGAAAGCAGAAGAGCAAGCAAGGAATGCCCTTGTTTTACAACAACCCACTCTGAAGGTACCTATCCAGTCCCATTAGAGCAACAGTTTACATGAGAAAGGCATTAATCCCTCTTACTAACCATAATCACCTCAGTGGTAGTGCACTCACCTGGCACATGTGAGGCACTGGGTTTGATCCTCATCACCACATAAAAATAAAAGTATGGAGGGGGACTGGGATTGTAGCTTAGTGGTAGAGCACTTGCCTAAAACACGTGTGAGGCACTGGGTTTGATCCTCAGCATAAAAACTAAACAAAAAATAAAGGTATTGTGTCCATTTACAACTAAAAAAATAAAAAATAAAATAAAAATAAAGGTATGTGTCCATCTACAACTAAAAAAATAAAAAAATTAAAAGGTCCCAATATTGTTGAACTACAAACTGGGGCTGGAGATATAGCTCAGTTGATAGATTGCTTGCCTCCCATGCTCAAGGCTCTGAATTCAATCCCCAGCACCACAAAAACAAACAATAACAACAACAAAAACCACTAGAAACTGAATTTTAGCATGAGTTTTGCTGGGGACAAACCACATCCACACTTTAGCAAGAACACTTGTCTAGCCAGTCAAGTTCAGCAATACTAGAACACAGACTCCCTTCCCCAGGGATGAATGTTAAAGACTTTCTCAGAGCTTTGCATGAAAAAAAAAAAACAAAAAAAAAAAACACTAAAAAACATGAATAAATAAACAAAACAGGAATAGGAAAAAATCCAAATGCTGAGACATTTCTTCCGAGTTGGTGAACATTCTGAGCCCCTTTATTGGCCCATGGCTAAATCCGCAGCAGAACATAAATTCCAGAAACAACAAATACTGCTCTGGGGATAAAGTAAAATATTAAGTCTGCAGTTCTATACTTGGCAATCACATTTCAGAATTCAGAATTCAGCCATTTAAAATTTAGAATACGCCATTCTAAAACCCAGCAATAGCACAATTTCCAGAATGGCCTTGGGAAGCCTGTTTAGCCCATTATGTAAAAAAAACCATGGTAGTATTCCAACTATCCTAATCAGCATTTCAATTTTGAAAGTCAAATCAAAATTCCAAACTACAACAATAAGAAGTTTATCCCCTTCTCAGYTCAAGTGATCTCTGCTGGTCATAGGAAAGGAGAATAAGTAAGTACAGCCATGCGTCAATGGCTTATTAAGTCCCTATGCCTCATGATTGGTTCATTTTCTGGAACTGAAAATAAGAGCACTTGCTCTCCAGGGTTGGAAAGTAAACAGTCATGCAGGTCTAGGTCTGTCTCCTCTGAGATCTGGAAAAAAAGCTCAATGATGTTTCAGGTAAAATAAGGGCTTTTGGCTTTATTTTTCAAACCACTCTTGCCTGGAATCCTAAATAAAGCCAAGATTGCAGTCATAGGATGACAGCTGTGAATACAATGAGTCTAATACTGTTCAACCTTTCCAGGAAAGGGCAAAGTTTTTCCTAATGCTCTCTTACTGTATCTTTGTCAAGAAGTGACTAGGTGGGCTGAGTTGTGGCTCAGCGGTAGAACACTCACCTAGCACATGTGAGGCCCTAAGTTCACTCCTCAGCACCACTTAAAAATAAACAAATAAAATAAATGTAAAAAAAAAAAAAAAAAGAAGTGAGCAGGTATGCTGGTAGCCGAACAACATAGTTCTTTACATAAAACAAATAAAAATGTCAAAGTTGTGTATTTGTGGTTATTATACATGTATTCCAACAGGTAAGTAAACTATAGCCCATGGGCCAAATCCAGTCCATTAAAGAGGCATATCCATCATTTTCACATTTTAAAGACACAGAAAAAACCAGAATGTCAGAGGCAACAAGTGGCCTCAGAAACCTGAAACATTCTTTCTGAACATGCAGAAAATGTGTGATGGTCCCTGATTTACATAAATTATGTTGTACCTCTTAAAAAATAATTCTAAATTTCTCATGTATGCACAAATATGCATTTGTGCATGTACAGAAATTAATGTGGAACAGCACACACCAATCAGGTAACAATTGTCACTTCAGGGGAAAGAATAAGATATTTGGGAGAGGAAAATGAAAGTTTTAATTTCATTGTTTGAATTTCTTGAAAATTATAGGCATACTTTTTACATGTCTAATTTTTTTAAGTTGTAATAAACTACTTTATAAATACTTTAAAAGATAATTTCCCTGAATACAGACTGAGATCGTAGAATTAATCAGAAATTGGGCTGGGATGTAGCTCAGTGATAGAAATTAGTACACCCTGGGCTGGGGCTGGGGCTCAGTGGTAGAGCACTTGCCTAGCATGTGTGAGGCACTGGATTCAATCCTCAGCACCATATATAAACAAATAAATAAAGGTCCATCAATAACTAATAAAAATTTAAAAGAAAGAAAGAAAGAATTAATTAAATTAGTACACCCAAATAGATTCAAAGCAGAATGATCCAAGGAGGTTCTTATACATTTATACCAACAGATATGCATTTGTGCATGTACAGAAATTAATTACAGTTTTAGGGGGACACAATATCTTTATTTTTATGTGGTGCTAAGGAGTGAACCCAGTGCTTCATGCATGCTAGGCGAGCGCTCTACCACTGAGCCACAACCCCAGCCCAAATCTTTTCTTTTGGAATGGCTGAACTGAGTTGACTAATTTCTTTTTTATTTTATCTACCTCAGTTTTGAATCATTTGCAGTTTCGAACATGTAATTCACATTAAAGAAATATAGACAACCCAAAGGCCAAATCCAATCCATGAAATAGGCAGGATTGAAAGGTAAAACTGGTTTTAACATTTTTAAAGAGTTCGAAAAATGTATGTGAGAGACCACATATGAAGACCCCTGAAGCCTAAAATTCCCTATCTGACCTTTACAGAAAAAGTGTGATGATCCCTGATTTACATTAACAATGTTGCATCTCAAAAATAATTCAAAAATCCTCTTGCAAATGCCTTCAAAGTCATTTCTAAACACAATAACAACAATTTAGCTGTTTTTTCCTTTTAAACTCAAAGCAGTATTAGCTATTCAGCTACCTCAGTTATCAGATTTGGCTCAAAAAACTGGTGACTTCAGCCTCAGGAGAAAGAGACATTTTCCCAATTACAATCTATAACCAGGAGCCTAACCAGAATATATAAGGGCACAAGGAGAAAACAATCTCAGATTAACCCCCTGAACAACCAAAACTAATTTTTTAAATTATTTTTTTAGTTGTAGATGAATATAATACCTTTACTTTATTTGTTTATTTTTATGTAGTGCCAGGGATCAAACCCAGTGCCTCACACATGCTAGGCAAGTGCTCTACCACTGAGCCACAACCCCGGGCCCCAAAAATAATTTTTAAAATATATCAATTAAAGGGTTAGGGTTGCAGCTCAGTGCAGAGCACACGCCTAACATGTGTGAGGCACTGGGTTCGATTCTCAGCACCACATATAAATAAATAACCTTTTAACCTACTTAATTTGATATAAAAGCAGTTTAGAACTTGGCAAGCACAAATATTTCACAAGGAGACAGTATCAACAGAAAGAGAACAAAGGCTATCACTACAGTAAACTAAGAAAAATTAAGACAATATCCTCACTCATCTCTGGAACACATTTTCCTACCTAAGTACGACACAGAAGGTACTCTACCTCAATGTCCTGGAGACTGAATTCTTTCTGATCTGTAAAGTTTGCAGCCCCAGCACTAAGTTCCATCAGCATCTTGGCAATCTCAGGCTTTATGGCTGAGGTCAGCCGACTGGCTGCTTCCATGACATGCTCCTGCACATCTTTGAGCTGCATGGCCGCCTTTGAGTAATGCGAGTTTCGGAACACAGTGCTGAAGAGATCTGTGAGGAAAGTACTGGCACGGCAGAAGACGTTGAGGGCGTCCAGGTATTTGGAGATACCCTGCTGGATGTCAGCGATGGGAGTGGAGTGTGGCATGGTATGGTGGCAGGTGCCTGCAGCAGTCAGACTGCCCAGGGGCGCAGAGGCGGCTGTGGATGCCAGGGGAGCGCTCAGTGCTCGGCCCAGCTCAGGCATCGGGTACTGCTGGTGCTGCTGTACCTTCTGCTTGGACCCGCCAAGCAGGAAGCGCCGCTTGTAGTCCATTTTACTATCCTGGGCACTGCAGCAATACATGCGGGTTGGGGAACTGTCCCAAGGACTGAGAGCAGATCAGGGTTCTGATTCTTTTTTTTTTTTTTTTTTTCAAAACTGCAGCTAGGTATAAAAATAGTGGAGTTCTGCAAATCTAAGTTTTAAAAAAGGCATTTCCATGAGGCAGATGATCATGTGATCCAACATAGAGGTGAGGACAAATGGTTTATATAATTAATATTTTCAGTGTAGACAGGACCACTGACAAAAAAATAAAAGTGTGTTCAAAATGCTGTATAAGAACTGTTTTGCATTCCACTCTCTTAATAAAAAGGTATGCTTGCTGAGGAAAATGTTTACTTATAATTGCTTTGGGAGAATATTTTGATACTTATATTTACAATGGCAAAAAAATAACTTAACTTTTTAAAAATGTAATATAATGTATCTTCAGTATACCAAAAAGTTAGAACCCAAAAACCCACAAGCTGATCAACAGCAATTTAAAAAGCAATACATGGTTACTACACACAAAGTCCTTAAGAAGGAAGATCAAACTTCTGCAGAATTTTGACAGAGCCTGCCTGTCAAATCCATTTACCTGTAAAGCTTCTCCTCAAAACTAAAAATTTCCAAATTTCCTGCAATGTTTTCTGAAAACAAGTTTTCTTTAAAAATGGCATTTGTTATTATAAGTGTTCTCCTCCTTTCCTTTTGTTTGCTGAGGTAGTGATTTCCTTATAACATTAATAAAAGGTGCTTGCAGACTGGGTTGGCCCTCATTTACAAAGTCTGAAGCAAGAATGCACAGATGTATTCATAAGGCCTCTAAGTCATTTCCTGTAAGGGGAAAAAAAAAGAAGATAAAGTCAGGAAGGCCATAAGACAATGAGCAATTCTGAAACATTAATTTATGCAATGTTATCATCTACACAGGCAGGCTACAAATGAATGAAATAAAATATCATATTATAAACTTAAAGAAGCAGGACAACAGTAAAAGTTGAACTGTGAAATGATTACTGTTAGAAAATTCCTCAAGGGCTGGTGATGTAGCTTAGTGGCAGGGCATTTGTCTAGTATGTGCAGGCCCTGCCTTCACTAAAAGGGAAGAAAAAAAAAAAAAAGAAAAGAAAATTCCTCAAGTTGTAGTAGAAAAATAATGCAGCAAGGTAAATCTGATTCCACACCAACCACTCCAAAACTGAGGCTAACCTGTGACACCTTGAACAAGGCCTGGCTTGTTTTCCTCCTTAGGGAGTTCACTAATCGGCAAGAAGATCGGATGAATTCACTTGTCCCTTGGTATCCATGAAGGACTGATTCCAGGACTCCCTGAAGGTCTCCAAAATCCAAGAATGCTCAAGTTCCTTAAATAAAATGGCACTGTATTTGCATATAACATATATACCATCCTTCCCTACACTTTAAATCACCTCTAGATTACTTATAGTACCTAATACAATGTAAATGCTATGTAAAAAACTGTATTGTTTAAGGAATAAAAAATCTGAACACATTTAGCACAGGTACAATTTGTTAAAAAATATTTCCTATTTGGAATTAAACCTGGAAATGTGGAACCTAGAGATATGACGTCTGACTAAGCTTTTGGTGAAAGATATTAATCTCCTCACAAAACTTTGAAGAGATCAGATAAAGGAAAGATAAGCACAAAGATGAGAGAAATCAGGAAGGCTGTTATGAAAAAAAAAATTATTCTGAGGTAGGCCTTGATTGTAGGATAGATTTTGAGTAGTACAAAAGGGACACATAGGCGCTCACCAAGTGAAGAATCATCTCAGCAAAGGCCCTGAAGCAGGAGAGCACCAGGTCTGTTCAGGATATACCCAGCTGGGCTAAAGTACCGGACGCAGAAAGACAAAATCTTGAGAGAAAAGTAGCTGGCAGGTGGTTTGTAGACAGGATTCTTCTAATCACAAGCCAAATACCAATTTCTCCCTGGGTATTCAGAGAGGAAGCTTGGAAAAATATGCTGTTTTTCACTCCCTGGGGTAATTTCTACAGAATCTCTGGCTCTGGTTAGCAATATCTGGACATCACTGGTTATAGTTTCTGATACCTACAACAGAAAAATAGCATATTCTCACTGAGCTAACTTCAGGGGTAACATTTGCTTGAACTACCTGTTCTGTCAAACATAGCAATAGTTCAAATATATTTTATTAAAAGTTATATTTAGTATATACTAAACTTCAGCATATATAATATCTATGTATAGTTTGGTGTACTTTTTATTTTCAATGTTGAGGACTGAACACCGGATCACCTTGTATGTGCTAAGCAAGTGCTGTACCACTAAGCTACACATCCAACTCTGGTCTACTTATTAATGACCAGTTTCTTTCTTTCCATTTTCATTTTTGTACATAAAAATACACATAAATAATACTTTGTCACTTATCATGGCCAATCATCAACTCCTTTGAAGTTCTATAACTATGTAAGGAACACAGAAAGTTATTTTATAAGAGCAAGAAACAAGAGTGCTGAGGACACAGACATACATGTAAATTCACCTATGGCTCTGTGAAATTCTTGACCCTTAAAGAAGAAAAAGACAAACAAATTGATAGCCAGGCATGGTGGCACATGTCTATAGTCCCAGAACTTGGGAGACTGAGGTGGAAGGATCACTTGAGGCTAGCCTGGACAACACAGCAAGAATTCAGCTCAAACAGAAAGACAAAAACAAACAAACAAAAAGCTCATAAACTTCTCCAGAAACAAGTAACAAATGGCTGTTTGTAAGAAATCTGATCCCAATTGTTCTTTTTTCAAATTCATGACAATAAGGCAATGGTACCTAACCTTGCCCACRTGCTACATCATAATTAATTCTAATGTATAAAAGCAGCACTCAACAGAAACAAAGAAGGCTGTTCCTGTGGAAACTCTGTGGCTGTAAAGGAAAACCTTTGCCTTGAGTTCACCACAGTGTCTTAAGTAGACCAGAGAAGCACTTTTTGTTCAGTGATGCACCAAATTTCCTAGTTCCTGGGCATCCTCTTCCACTGCTATCTCTGGCTCTAGGAGAGCCCATTCCCATTCCTTTGGCAGGTGGACCTGCAAGACCAAGTTGCTTACCTAACTTCTAAAAACAATCAGAAACATTAAACTTTTTTTTTTTTTAATTTGTATCCTTCCAAAGTTTATTTGAATTATAAGGATTAAAACTATTTCAGCCAGATGCAGTGGTGCATGCCTGTAACCTCAACTACTTGAGAGGCTGAGGCATGAGAATTGCAAGTTTGAGGCCAACCTCAGCAACTTAATAAGACCTTGTCCCAARATAGAAAATAAAAGAACTGGGGTATAGCTCAGTGATGAAACACACCTGGGATCAATTCCCAGTACCAGGAAAAAAAAAAAAAAAAAGACAACTTCACAAAAATTCATCTAAAATTAAATAGTGCAGTCTCTATCAAAATTTAAAGTAAAGTTTTAATGGAAATGGGCAAGCTGACCCTAAAGTTCATATGGAAATGCAAAAGATCCAGCATGACCAAAACAAATTTGTTTTTTTGGGGGGAGTGCTGAAGGAATCATATCATACTGATTTTAAATCTACTATAAAAATATTATAATCAAAGCAGTGGAGCACTGACATAAGGAAGGACACATAAGTGACTGGAACAGAACTGGATGTCCAGAACTAAACTCAAATACTTAGGCTTAATTACTTCATGGAGTTTGTTTCCAGTGGTAGGGATTGAACCCAGGGCATGACTCATGCATGTTAGCCAAAACCTTTTATAAGGGTATCAAAACCATTCAATGGAGAAGGAATAGTCTTTTCAATAAGTGGTGCTAGGGTAACTAAATATCCACATACCCAAAAATGAATGTGACCAGATGAGATGCCCCATCTGTAAGCCCCAGTGGCTCATGAGGTTGGGGCAAGAGGATTGCAAGCTCAAAGCCAGCTTCAGCAATTTAGCAAGATCCTGTCTCAAAATAAGAAATTAAAAAAAGGGGCTGGGGATGTGGCTCAAGTGGTAGCGTGCTCACCTGGCATGCATGCGGCCCGGGTTCGATCCTCAGCACCACATACAAACAAAGATGTTGTGTCTGCCGAAAACTTAAAAATAAATATTAAAATATTCTCAAAAAAAAATTTAAAAAKGCCTGTGGATGTGGCTCAGTGGTTAAGCACCACTGGGTTACACCATCAGTACCAAAAATAAAAGAATGAATGTTGTGAACCCCTATTTCACATCATATACAAAAATTAACTCAAATCAAAGATTTAAATATAATTATTAAAATATAAAACTCTTAGAAGAAAACAAGTGAAAATTTTTGTGAGCTTGGGTTAGACAATGGTTTCTGAAACATAACACCTAAAGCATATGCAACAAAAAATTTAAAAATTGGGTTTCATCAAAATAAGAACTATGGCTGGGGATGCAGCTCAGTATTAGAGCACTTGCCTGGCATGCATGAGGTCCTGGGTTCAATCTCTAGCACCACACCCATGCGCACTTGCATAAAAGAAAATTTTAAATGTTTATAGAAGAATGCAGTGGTGCACAGCTGTAATTCCAGTTACATGGGAGACTAAGGCAGGAGGATTAAAAATTCAAGGGCAACTTAGCAAGACCTTGTCTCAAATTAAAAAATAAAAAGTGTTGAGGGTATAGCTTAGTGATAGAGTGCTTGCCTAGCATGCACAAGGTCCTGGGTTCAATCCCAGCAGCACAAAAAGAAAGAAAATTCAATAAAAAAGGTAGCCAAACCATGAAAATGGAAGGGAGACCAGTAGAGTAGAGGAGGAGAGAAAATGAGGGGGAAAGGGGAGGACGGGAAAGGGGAGGAACTGAGGGATAAGGCTGACCAAATTTTGCTGTGGGCATGTGTAAATGTACCATGGTGAATTCCACCTTTATGTACACCTATAAAGTAATAATTTATAAAAACAACAAATAGATGGGGAGAAGGTCAGTAGAGTAAGGAGGTGGTATGGGGAGGGGTATGTTGGGGAAAAGAAGAGGGAAGAGGTACTGGGGACTGAAAATGGAGCATGCATGTGTGATTTTGTCAAAATGAAACCAACTATTACATATAACTACAATGCACTAATAAAAACATACAAAAAATGTACAATAACCAATGTTAGTGAAAATGTAGAGAACTTGAAATCCTCATTCACTGTAAGTAGAAGATTAGATGAACACTTTAAACAGTTTAACAGTTTCCTCAAATGGTTAAATATACACGACCCACAAATTCAATTCCTATGCATATATCCAAAAGAAAAGAAAAAAAAAWYCACATGCTAGGCTCAGTGGCACACATCTGTAATCCCAGTTACCTGGGTGGCTGAGGCAATCACAAGTTTGAAGCTAGCCTGGGCAACTCAGTGAGACACCATCTCAACATAAAAATAAAATAGGTTGGGAATGTATTTCAGTGGTAGAGTGCTTGCTTGGCCTGTGTAAGCCCCTGGGTTCAATCCCTAGTAAACAAGTTCATAAAGAAAATCCTATATTCAAACATTCACAGCAGCATTATTTATAATAGCTAAAAAGTAGTAACAACTCAAATGTCTATCAACTGATAAATGAATTTAAAAAAAGCTATATAATGGAATATTAATCAGGACAAAAAGGAATGAAGTTCTGACAAATGCTACAATGTGTATGAACCTTGAAAACATTGGGAAAAGTGAAAGAAAAACTACATACAAGAAAGCATATATTATATAAAATATCCAGGATAGGCAATTCATGCAAATATAAAGTAAATTTGTAGAGAGCTGGGATTGTGGCTCGATGGCAGAGCACTTACCTCACACGTGTGAGGCCCTGGGTTCCATCCTCAGCACCACATAAAAATAAACAAATAAAGGCATTGTGTCCATCTACAACTAAAAAAATATTTTTAAAAAAAGTAAATTTGTAAAATAGGGAGTACTTGGCTAATAGATATGGGATTTCTTGTCCCAAAATTAGATAATGGTGATGCTGGTACAACTCTGAATATACTAAAAAACCACTGAACTATATACTTTAAAAAGATGAATTTTATGACATATGAATTTTACCTCAATAAAACTATTACTTTTTAAAAAGTATCACCATATCATCCTTTGCCATTTTCTTTATGTATCATATTCACTAGTAAAAGGTGTATAATAAAAAAAATACATTTTCCAGGGATGCCTTTAGCATCAGACTGTCTCCTTTTTGTACTCCAGATAGAAATCTTTATCTAAAGGCTGCTATCCAGAATCTGGGAATGTAAATTACCAAAACAAAACAAACAAAAAAACCCCTTGGAGATCAACTAATTGCTAGACACAGTGGCACACACCTGCAACCCCACCTACTCAAGAGAATAAGGCAGGAGGATAACAAATTCAAGGCCAGCCTGTGCAATTTAGCAAGAGCCTGTCTCAAAATAAAAAATTAAAAGGGCTGGGCCAGAGATGTAACTCAGTGGTGGACTGCCACTGGATTCAATTCCCAGGACTGCCAAACAAAACAAAACAAAACAAAACAAAACAACAACTCATCTAATTTAAACCCTGCAATTTACATATTAAAAAAAAAATCCCATGATACTAAATGTCTTGCACTAAGCCACATAATCTCAGGATCATACACTGGTATCTTGACTTTCAGAACTCCAAACATGAATGTTCTGTTCTAAACTACCCAGACTGGCAGATAAGATTAGGCAACGCTTCAAGAAAAAATCCTAAAATGAGGCCTAATCTAATAAAGTTTTGTTTCTTGCTCACAAAAAAATTCAATGTGGGTCTGGCAGCCCTTCTTCAGCTTGTAGGGACATCACTGGAACTTTACTGTCTTTAACAGTCACTCCAGCACAGAAAAAAAGTGAAAATTCATACCCCCTCAGTAATCCACTGAAARTGACACATATCACTTCCCTTCACAGCAAGGCTTTAGTCAAAATTAGTCACATGATGCCAAATTAACTGTAAGAGAGATCGGGAAATGTAAGAGAACATATGGAATACTGTAAAAGCATTATAGTTGGCTRTAGCTGTCCATCCAGCCATGTGTTGTACAGTTCTGACCAGATGGCAAAAGCAAT